GGCTGTGAGCTGAAAAGCTACAGCCGGCTGTATGCGTACAGCAACCCTGTGTGAAAAGTGGTCAATAAAGAAATGTTGAAAAGCAGCGGGTCTGCCGTGGTATGTTTACAATGGAACTTCTGCTCCTGAACCTCTGCACACAGCGTCTGCAAATCGGGGCTGTACGAAGTGACTTTCATCTTTACGCAGGACTCTAAGCTGTCATCTGTGAGGCGTGAGCGGTGTTTGTTTTTAACATAGTTCACGGATCCGAAGATCCATAATTGGCCTACCTGGAGTTGAAAGTCTCAATAAATGCTGGCGTTTCGGTGGGTACACCAGCTTCCGCGAGTGTGCCGCTTATTTTGAGCAATGAAAAATAAGAAAATATAATTTTATTTTTATATTTCAATATCACAATAATCTTCCAGTTTAGAACTACAAGTTAAAAAAAGAACTAAACACAAATAAAATACACTTCAGCTAAATACTTCTAATTTATTTTTCCAAACCACCCGGTGCCGCAGTATAAGGACAAAAGTGCCGCAGGTTGCAGACCCCTCGCCTAAACTGAGGCATAATCTACCCCTACACATCAGACAGCCTCCTACTGTTAGTCTTTTCAAACCTAAAACACATTTGTATTCACTGTCTTTTAATACAGTATGAGAGTTATTCGGTACTAGTTATTTTGTAATTCTGTACAGCAGGTTGCTGTTGTAATCAAATGTGCCATATAAATTTTTAAAATGAGCCGAACAAAACAGTGAGCTCAGGTGACTGATGTCAGTCTGCCGACACTCTGAGTGCCTAAAAACACAAGTTTACCCACACGTTTTTAGTGAGTGTGTTTTCACAGTGACTATAAACACGATTAGTACAGCAGCACTCTGGTTGATGGAGCATTATGCACAGTGAATTCAGTCCTACGCGTCTTTGTAAAAATGCTTCTGCCTTTTAGCCAAGGGCACCAGTGCATTCCTTATCCACCCCCGTCTTCTTTGTTTGTTCTTCCTCTGGTTACACTATTATATAACCACTAATCTTATGTAATGAAATTGAACTGCAGCGAGTGATGACATAAGTTCTTTAAAGCATTTCAGACCATTTTAAGATTCTGAAAACATGATAATATGCCATGCCATCTGCTGTGTTTCACTGAGCTTAAATGTGTCTGTTTCATAGTTTCCTGCCTAAAGAACAGTGAAAGTTACAGTATGAATTAAACTCGGTGAGGTACAGTGACTTTGCTGTTGTTTATCAGATCTCAGCCATCTGGGAGTGATTACCCAGAGAGGAAGCAGCTGTGAAATCACAAAAACAAGCTTCTGTCTACAGATAATGCTCACCAGGAAATGCCTCCTATATGGCATTCTTAGAGGGACACAGCGCAAGGTCAGGTCTCTAGATTCATGAGGATATCATTAAAGTGCAAATTCAGCCTCAAACACATCAGCACTGTTGGCAGTGGCGAAGTAGCTCACAATCCCGGCTTATTCAGCAGAAAGACTGCCAGATTAATGGATACATATTCAGTTATGTAAGGATTTTCACCCATTAGATTCAGTAAAAAAAGAATCACATTCTGTGGGTGTGTATATGTGTGTGTGGTTCCTCATTGATTGATTTTTTTTTTTTTTTTTTTTTTTTTTACATTTACTAATAAATCTAAATGCCATTTTAACTCATCTAAAAGCAAGAAAAGTACTGGAAACAGTCAGCATTCAGCACGGTGTAACAGATGGTATTAAATCTTATGTGTTCAAACTTAAGTTCCATTTCAAACTGTTAATTGCATTCTTACATCATATTTAAAAATTGCTGAAATGTTTCAAAAATCCACTATGCTGTCACGATCTGGCTGGCAGACTGTGGGGAGATGGGGAAATAGGACCCAAACGCCGGACTCTTCAGTGCAACAGTGTTTATTTACAAGGTGGTGAAGTAAACAACAATGAATCCCCAGTTTCCCAGACTCCCGTGTAGTGTCTTCTTCCCTAAAGTCCCTGTGTAGTGCTCTCTGCTCCAGTGTCCCTGCACTCCCCGTGCTCACTGCTCCTTCTTGTCCCACACTCCTCCTGAAGGGAAAAGAATAGAGGCAGCCGTTACACACTTGTCCCAGCAGGCATACACTCAAACTTGACTATGCTAGAAGACTGACGTGTAGTCCAACGCAATAATCCCGCATCGGTGGAAGCTCCATCGCTCATCTAAATAGCTCCCCCGACGAGCCCAGATGAGGAGCAGGTGTGCGGCCAGGACTTCGGGTGTGGCCAGCCCTCAAGTTAGACCACGCCCCCAGGGCTGAAGGTGCCTGTAACTTGGCCACAGCAGATAGGCAATACACACACATATCTGCCTACACACAGATGTGCACAGGGGCAGTGCAGACAACACACCTAATAATAATAATAATAATAACAACAACAACAACAGTCATAGTCTCCCACTGCCCACAGACCCCAAGTCCCCAGAGCCGGGTCCGTGACACATGCATAATAGTGCACCCACAAGATGTCAGATTAGCAGGGCTTCAGTCCTTCTGTCCTTAAAGGTTAAAATCCACACACATACACACCTGTCCAGCATTCGGTAACACATTAGTTAAGACATTGCATGTCTAGACCACACAGGTTCTGGAGAGAGTGCACCTGGATTATTGTTGTTGTTGTTGGCCTTTGTCTGCTACTCGCGGCTAAAAATCTTTAGCAAAATCAGCTAGCTGAGAGAAGCTGAAGATAAGATGCTGACTCAAGATTGCATAAATAAACAATTCCAGCAATTAGAGAAGTTTTCAAAGAAAGTGTCTTGATGCATGCTCAATCATCCAGGTAAGTAAATCCCAAAAGGTTGATTCAGTTCATCTGGACTTAGCCTTTTCAATGGGAGAAACATTTCATCACCCTTCCAAGTGACAGAAACGACGATACCCATTGAAAATGCTACGTCCAGATGAACAGAATAAACCTTTTGGGCTTTACTTACCTGGTTTTATCTTTAAAATTCTAATACTCTGTAAAGTATTGCTAAATGCCTATACATAAATGGTAACTTTTATTTTGAAACTCATACAGTTACAGCATGTGATAATGGTGTCTAGTGCAAAAAGGACACACCAAAGGATACTGACAAATTCCTTGGACTATTTTAAAAATCTAACATTTCACAACCACCAACCAGTGGAGGCTTTTATTTTTGAGAATTCAGCATGTTTTAAATAACATTGGTATTCCAAGAAGGAACCGGACACTTTGGTTATGAAAATTTAACATAAGTCATCCTGAAAACATCCGGTGTATAACTGTGGGCTTTCATTTTTAAAGTCTGACACACACTAAGACTTTCCTGTTAGTCACTATTAAGGCCTTTGCACTGTAAACTGTTCCATTCCATTCTAACCCAGTGCAGACAAAGCTCCACACTAAGCTAGAAGGACTTTGTTAGATTTGGTTGAGTAGTGTTATTTCTGAAAACAGCTGGCTGTGACCAATAGTTAACTGGTGTTGTACTTTAATGCACTACAAATTATTAATTTAACTGACTAGTATTTCTTATGCAGCATGGACAGTGACACGAGAGATAACATTGATGCTGGGAATGGGAATCTTCTGTTTGGAGATTCCTGAAGGCTAAACACTACCAGAAAAAGCTGAATGCTTCAGTTCATTCATTCATACCGCTACATGGAGTGCTCTTCAAGTGTTTTTGCTTCAGGAATAAAATGAAACATTTTAGTACTGTCAGTGGTGGTTGGGAGTCACCAGCCCTCACTGGTCTGATCAAAAGACTGTACATATGATCTGAAAATGGTGTTTTGTTTTGTTTTTAAATTTGATATTTATTTATTTATATTTTCAGAATTCAAAGAGCGCCCAAGGCCTGGTGGGACTGAAGAATTTAGGAAACACTGTAAGTACAGCAGCCACATGCTATACATGTAATTACATCTGTTGTGAGACTAACATCTTGAGTAGTGTTGCTCTTGTTCTCAACTGATTTGCAATAGCTTTCCAAAAATCCAGTGAGTGTCACTGTAAGCACAGTGTGTTGCGATCTGTTCGGTCTGCCAGGCAACAAGCATAAGGACGACTCCTAAAATAAACTGTGCACTGTGTTGTGTGCTTGTATAGAGTAACCTAATCAGAGAGCTCTGAACTATGGACCAGAGAGATCTCATTCCCTCCCTCTCTGACTGGCTTGTTCTTACCAAGCTGCACATGTGTCACATGAACACGTGACATGAGACAGTGCTGTGATACTTCTTTGTACCCAGGAGTTACACTGCTGCTTCTCTGCTTCTTTAAACATTCATCAAGGACAAATGACTTCACATTTACATTGAAAAATCCTTCTCTTACATAATATGTAGATTTAGCTTTTATTACATGACTGTACACCACCTTTTTTCAAAATGATGTGAACAGAGTTCTGGCGAAAACACTTGATTGCCTTTGTTCTATGAACTTGATGATGCTCAAGTCTGAGGAGTAAATCTGAGTTGCTTGGCTTTTCACTAAGACTTAGAACAGTTAAAGTAAAAACAAGTATTTGTAATTACAGTGAGGTTAGCAGATACCCAGCTATGATGTGCTCACCCGAGGAATTAATGCACAAATCACATTCTGTAAAGTCCCAACTTTTTATTCTTACTCTTTGAGCACACCGAAGTCAAACAAGACAGCATATTCTTCAGTGAGCTTTGAGTGCCTATATGGAGATGTTGTTATCTTTATACATGCTAGCTGTTTTTTTCATCTAACTCTAGGCAAATAAGCACATCACTCAAAATGTTGAAGTATTCGTTCAAGCTGTTAAGCTACTGTTTTGTCATCTTTTAACACTGCAAATTGCGCTCAGAAATATATTTTGGTAACATATTGGAACAACATTAGAAATCACTGTTAGACATGATGCAGGGTGTCTGCACATCTTCAGAAAGGCCTAGAATGTCTTAATTGTGAATTATCTTTTATTAAAACACCTTTAAAAGTCTTCAGCCGCCTTAAGTTCAGTTTAGATCTCAGTTCATCTGGTTGAGCTGGTGACCAATATACCAACAATATACCTGCCACATTGCTTGTGTGTCATTCCCCCATGCTCCCTTTCTGCTTTCTTGTCTGTCCTGTATCTTATCTACTAAAGGATAAATGGCAAAAATAAATCTTTAGAAGAAGGGCAGCTCTCCTGTTGGTTTGTGGTCATGGGATGCTGCGGGTTTAACCCAAAGACTTTGTATGAAGGTTGGCCTTAGCCTCCAAAACATTCACCCCCTGTACAGCTGTTATGAAGTAGAAATGATCTGTCACAGCTAAATCCATTTCCTGTGCCATTTTCAATGCTGCAGAGTTGGACATTGTTACATTATAGTCTATGGGGATTGACTTACTGTTTGAGACCAGCATCTGTTGACCAATAAAACAACTGCAACTCTTAGCATGTGTCCATATTGGCTTAATTTTCAGCCATTTAGTAAGCAAGAAGTTGCTGCTTGATATAATAGCAAAGTTGAGTCCTGATGATTAAAGTTTGTAGATGTTTCTGGAACAAACAACATTGCCTGTCAAAGGTAGGTAAAGGATTTTTGAAACTAGTGCTAATATTTGGTGATTTTAAAATGCCATATTCCAATATATATGCCAGTATTTCTTTTCCATTTAGACATGGCAAAAGGATTTCCCTAAATGTGTTATGTGTAGTTATTTATTTACTCGTGTACATTCTGCCCGACTTTGGTCAGATCAGCTGTTTGGTGTGAGTGTGGCGTTCCAAACAACATGCCAGCAGTAGCATATTGCTGGTTTCAGCCAATAATATCAGATAAATTGGTCAGGCTTTCAGGAGTTTGACATTTGGGTGAACAAGGTGGTTGTCTGTTTATATTAACAAATACATTCAGACAGTTTTTCAATTCAATTCAATTTTATTTATATAGCGCCAAATCACAACAAAAGTCGCCTCAAGGCGCTTCATAGATACAGAGAAAAACCCAACAATCATATGACCCCCTATGAGCAAGCACTTTGGCGACAGTGGGAAGGAAAAACTCCCTTTTAACAGGAAGAAACCTCTGGCAGAACCAGGCTCAGGGAAGGGCGGGGCCATCTGTTGGGGTAAGAGAAGGATGAAAGACATGCTATGGAAGAGAGACAGAGGTTAATAACAGATATGATTCAATGCAGAGAGGTCTATCAACACATAGTGAGTGAGAAAGGTGACTGGAAAGGAAAAACTCAATGCATCATGGGAATCCCCAGCAGCCTACGTCTATTGCAGCATAACTAAGGAAGGATTCAGGGTCACAGTTTTTAATACAGTTTTTCCTGTATTAATTTGACCTTATTGTTCATTTTGAACTGACAACAGTGTGTTTGTTGCTTTTGATGTCCATGTCAAGTTTGGTCTTAAATCTTATTAATTAGGACTTGAATAGTAATACGTTTAACTTAACAGTATTAATTAAGTAAAAGCATAAACTGATTTGATTATAGCATCTGGAATCAAACCGTTTTCTCTGCTTTGTCCTGACAGTGTTTCATGAACAGTATCCTGCAGTGTCTTAGCAACACACAAAGCCTGCGAGACTACTGCCTGCACAACTCCCACCGCAGAGACCTTAACAACAACAGCCGCACCAACACAGCCCTCATGGAAGGTGAGAGACATGTCACACAGGCCCCTTAGAGTCCAAAACAAACTCTCCTCACAGCGGTCCACCAGCAGCACACTCATTCCCCCCTACCCCCCGCATCTCTGTAAGATTTGCACATTTCACCTGAAAGCATGTTAGAAGAGGTAAAAACAAGAGTGGCTTTCTTGGTCTTTTAAGAGTTTGCATGAAAAAGAGTCCTACCTTCATTTCATTCCACTGTGACACAAGCATTTTACGTCCCAGCATGTGTGAATAACCTTAGCTGCTGCTGTGTTGGTAGAATTTGCCAAGCTGCTACAGACCATGTGGACATCATCCAGCAGTGAGGCTGTCAGCCCGTCCGAATTTAAAACACAGATCCAGAGATATGCTCCCAGATTTGTGGGATACAAGTAAGCTTTGTAATCATTTTATTTTTTATTTTCTGTTTTTTTGTGACCTGATTTTGATTTTCATAGCCCTAACTGTTTTGGTGTATCACAGCCAACAGGATGCTCAGGAGTTCCTGCGCTTCCTCCTGGACGGCCTGCACAACGAGGTCAACAGGGTCACTGTGAGGCCGAGAGGCACTGTGGAGGACTTCGACCACCTGCCGTGAGTAATCAGACCGACACGTGCGCGTGTACCTGCACTGAGTCACACTAACACTGTTTTGTTTTGTTTTTAAAAGTGGACTTTGTTAGCTGGAGATGAGGATGTGTTTGGAAGTTTCACAGATGAACAGTACAACTGTTTATTGTATTTTATTAGAGCTTTTACTCATACGTAACCAGCCTGAATCACATTAGCTTAGTAATTCAAAAACATCAGGGCCAAATCTCTGAATAGGTTATGTGCAGCGTACAGTATGAATACAAGCCCCAAACCAAGACAGCACTAATCACTGAGGCCTCATCATTAATCTTTAATTCAAGGCCATGTGCAATAGTTTCACCTCCCATGCTGATTTGTTTCCTCTCTGGGGGCCACAAGCACTTAATGCTCCAGTTTTTCATTGATATAATTAACAGTTATCTAACCACGGTTTGTTTAAGGGTCAGAGTTAATTCCAGCAACTTCCAGTATTGCCCTAAAAACACATCCTCTCTGCTGCACTGTTAAAACTGCAGGAAAATATCTGCACACAGCATGAAAAAGTGTTTCACAGGAGGAAGTGTTTCTGTAAAGCATCTTTTTAATCCCCTAAAATGGTTCTTGGACACCTTGGTAGTTAAGATAAATTAGGCCAGGTTCTCTTGTTGCTTTTTGTTATTTTTGAAACCCTTTTACAGTGTCACAACAGCTCAGTATGATTTCCCCCATCTTAGCCATCTTCCTAACTATCAGCTGCATGCTGGGGGCTCAGGCATTACATATGTACATGAAGTGTAAGCCTTACATGAAGTGTAAGGCTTACACTTTCTAACTTCTAACTCATACTCCCCCCTCAGAGATGAGGAGAAAGGGAAGAAGATGTGGAGTAAATACCTGGAGCGAGAGGACAGTAAGATAGTAGGTGAGTAAATGGGCTGCAGCTCAGTTTTATTTGTCACCAATGTGAAAATTCACCTTGCACATACAAGACATAAACAGAACGTGGTTAAATGGAAATGAAAAGGAAGATAAACTTTCTCATCTGTTTCTTTGATGTACTCTTTGATCTGTGCTTCTCCAGACCTGTTTGTGGGACAGCTGAAGAGCTCATTGACCTGCAGCCACTGTGGTTTCTGCTCCACTGTCTTCGACCCCTTCTGGGATCTCTCTCTGCCTATCGCCAAGGTTAGAGCACAGACTCACAGGTCCAGACAGGGACCTGTGTTTGTCCTTCTTACGTAACGCGTACCAGAAGGGCAGCAGACACAAATGTCAGCACAATCAGTGTATGAGTGTGGGTGTGGGTGTGTGTGTGTGTGTTTTATGATGATTTGCACTAAATATTGAAACACTTCCTGTGTCCACAGCTCCTAATATGAGCTTCTTCATATCTTTCCTGTCTCTATTTGTTTTTGCTTCGTGTGTGTGAATGTAATGTGAATGCATCTGTGCTCAGAAGGGCTATGGTGAGGTGAGTCTGATGGACTGCATGCGACTCTTCACCAAAGAAGACATCCTTGATGGGGATGAAAAGCCGGTAGGTGTTCACTGCTTGCACTGACAAAAAGAGCTTATGATAATCACCACTTTGACTTCATACTTTTCCTATCCAGTGTTGAGTTAGCACAGCTAACACAGAACATGAAATTTGTTTTATTTGTGCGTATAAGAGTTTATTATGTTTACTTTATAATTAAGCTAATTTCAGCTCCTTTTTTATTCTTAGACGATGACAGAATTGCATGATTCACAATTTAAAATAATCCCTATTAACATATACAGGGCTCGTTGCTGCCCCTAACTCAGTTGAGTTGATCCTCTGTTTGAAACAAGCTGCTTTAGTTCCTGTCCTTTTACGTCCACCCTTTCACTTCTATATTATTGGCTGCCCCTCGCCTGGCTTTAAGCCATTAAAAGAAGCCATAAGACTTCCTCCTGAACTTGCAATTGTAGGATTTCCAAAACCAAACTGCAAACCTAGCATTCAGTTCAATTTTATTTTTACAGTGCCAAATCACAGCAACAGTTGCCTCAAGGCACTTTATATTGTAAGGTAGACCATACAACATAAATACAAGTAAAAAACACAATTCTCAAAACAAATTCATACTTTGACGCACAAAGTGCACAACAATATGTTTACATCTGAATGAATCATAAATGACAGTAGAACTGTTTTTACAAATGTAAAGGTGTTGTTGGTCATGTTTAATGTGAGCATCCAGCAGTGTGACAGGACAAATATAAAAATAAGAAAAAACTGTATTTCTTCAGAAACTCTTCATATACATGTAATTAGAGGAGTTACACTGCCCTACAAAGGCAGAGCAAAGTAACTGCAGAAGCAGCAAATTTAGGAAAACTGGTTTGGAATTTTCCTGTTCAACAACAAACTGTAAAATGCTTATAAAGTAATTCAAATTAAAAAATTCCTCCCACAGAACTTACACAGCATCTAAAAGGGAAACTATCTATAAACTGCAGTTTGTTTTATGCTCAGTACAAATGTAAGCTGCACATAGATGGTCAGAGATAGTTTAGACTGAGTGAGTAACTTGTGCTTTTTATCTTGTGTGGTGGTTCCTCTATGATTCCTGTTCTTAAACACTGACTGATCTTATTCTGTTTCTTCTCAAAGACGTGCTACAGATGTAAAGCCAGGAGGAGATGCACTAAAAAGTTCACAATACAGAAATTCCCCAAGATTTTAGTGCTGCGTATCCTTTGCTTTATTCATCACCTGCTGTGATGCTGTGCTGAGGCATGTGGGGTAGCTGAATGCTTTATTGAGATTTTATGACTTACTGCTTTGTATTCTGTTCTACTGAATTGCAAAAAGTGTTTTTCTAGTAATTAGCTGACCCTTAGCTATTCTGTTGCAGCTATGACAATAGCTGCAATAGAAAAGTGCTGTGAACAGTTAGCAGCAGACAGCTCTGCCATGGAGGCAGGAAGTTGTCATGTGTGTAAGCCCAACAGTATAATTAAGTGAGTGAGCGCTGACAGTGCACATGATCAGATGTTTTAACGAGCTGCTAATTGGCTGTTATGAATTTGTCAAGTCACTGAGGTGATGGATGTGTCATTCTAAAGCCTCAGTGGAGTGAAGCCGTTCCGAGTAGTCATGTTGAATGTTGGCTTGATGTACAGTTTACTGTATGCAGAGCATCTGTTCCTTGACTCCCTTTCCTCTAAAGACCTGAAGCGCTTCTCTGAGGCACGAAGAACCAGCAAACTGTCCACATTTGTTAACTTCCCCATGAAGGATCTTGACCTGCGGGAGTTTGCCTCTGAAAACAGCAGTAAGTAATGAGCTTGTACTCTCCACGAGTGGACTGCCACAGAACGCTATGTTTACACTAAATGTAGAACTTTTCTCTCTGGCTCACAGAGAAGTTTATTCAGTGTTTAGGTGTGAGCTAGTTTCTGCCTTTGTGCTGTGAGGCAGCAGTTCAAGCCAATGCCCCAGATCTACAACATTAAAATAATGGTTTCTACATGAAACTATTCTCCATTCAGATTTTTTTCTAGTTCCATTATACTTTAATGGAGTATAATGGAAATAGATGGCCCCATATTCAAGTCATGGCCCATTGTGGTGAGCAATCACTACAGGCTATTGAGACAATATCTAGATTTGATTTTTGGGTGAACTGTCCCTTTAAACATGTGTTTTGTCACCTTGCAGTAAATGCAGTGTACAACCTGTACGCAGTGTCCAACCACTCAGGCACCACTATGGGCGGCCACTACACAGCCTACTGTCGCAATCCCAGCTCGGGAGAATGGTACACGTTCAATGACTCCAGGTAGGTTCGCCACAAATCTCACACAGACACACACATACACTTAGTGTTACTATGACAGTTCACTGTTCGTGTAGAAGATCATAGGAGCTGTGTGGAGAAGTCAGCTCGTTGATAATGATAATTTTACAGGCTGTTATTGCTCTCACAAGCACACAAACACCCCCTGGCTAAGATAACAGAGTTGAGGAGTGATAGTAAGAGTTGCGGGTGCTATCTGCTCTGCTTAGCATCCCGTTGGTCACTCCAAGCTGTTTCCTGCTGCGCTGCACTCATTCATACCCTTCCACGCTTCCTCTTACTCAACACTGTTGTCAGGTCTGATGCTGGTTCTCCGTCACTCTTCGGGGGTTGTACTACACATAGCTGATGACTACACATAGCTCACGCTGTTCTTGTGTGTGTGTTTGGGAGTGTACAGCATGCACGCTGGCACTGAAACCATTTGATAGCTTCATGAAAGATAAATGAATTGATGATGATTCTGAAAGTTACTCCAGCATGGAAACAAAGCAAATTAGATTGACTAAGTGAATTTGTTTCCTTTACCTCCTCATACACCAGCATGCATACAGTATATATACATATGCATTACTGCAAAGTAAGATTAACCCTGTGAAGCCACCATAAAGAGGCAGTGAATCGTTAGTGTTGTTTTTCTTTTCTACCCGTGTGTGTCTGCTTTGTTCTAACATTACATCTGAAACTGAGCTGCTCACGTTGGAGCTGATAAATCTTGAACAAAAGTAACTTTTACTATAACAGAAGACAGCCGACTGAGTGCACACTGATGATTTCAAGCTCAGAAAACAAGAACGCTTGTAGATTTCGACACTGTTCCACATTGCTGCATCAGCATAATGAGCAAGCTAGAAACAATTACAACTGTGTTACATTTAACAGATGCTTCGTACTGTATTCTACACTCACACAACCAAACAGATGTTTAAGGGAAGGCGTATGTCAGGCTGCAGCGTTGATTTAATGCTCTCCTATTAATCAAGCATCAAAGTCGTTCCTGGAAGGCATACATCATTTGTTACACATCCTCCTGGCATCAGCACTAGCCAACAGAATTAATCCATTTGGAAACCATGTTAGCACGTGGGCTCCCTCAGACTTGACATCTCATCTCAAAATCACCAAATTCAGCCATTCTGCTTTTAATGCGGTGCTCTACTAAATGTACTCACACACATATGAGGCTCAGGTGGAGCTTTCAGCTAACTCAATTAGTCATTACATTCAAAGTCTGAGCAGGTTGTTTTAGACAGCAGTGTGTGACTGAAGTAGCAACTATAGTGCCTGACAGCTTCATTCCCTTTCAGTTTGACTTTTTATCCCATTTATCATGTTGTAATTTCTATTAGAGTAAGATAGGAGTTACACTATATGGCATCCTACTGCATACTAACTGCTCAAACAGACTGTGATTATGTCTACAGTTAATATCTATAAAGACACCCTATAGCTCACTCAGAGGATCATGAGATAATTTTTGCTTAAATAAAATATATAAATGATACATTATAATCAAGTGTTCAAAGGCTTAAGTTTAATTTTATTTTATTTATATACTTTCAGAGTAACGCCAATGTCCTCCAGCCAAGTGCGCAGCAGCGACGCCTACGTCTTGTTCTACGAGCTGGCTTGCTCCTCGCGGATGTGAAGCGTCGTAGAGGAGGGCAGGCCACAGCACCACTCTGACTCACAGACAGACACTGGACGGATGGACACGCAACACATGAAAGTGCTGTTGGAGCCTGGCCTGTTTGGAAATTTTACTTGGACATACATTACATGGCTCACACAAACACACACACACACACACACACACACACACACACATACACATCACTCCACAGAAACTGCTGGATGGGGGGACAGGCTGGAAACCACTGGCTTTTTTAATTCTGCTCTCCGTTTGTACTCCCACATGTTGCTGGTTGCGGGTGGACGTGCGTTTACTGTGTGTGTGTGTGTGTGTGTGCGTGTGTGTGTGTGAGGTTGACAGAGGGCAATAATCCCATCTGAGTGAACCAACCAGGTGACTCAGTCTCCATCTCAGAAGCCCCTCTCTATGCACTGCAAACTCTGGTCCTGACCACGCCTTTCCTTCTTCTTCGTCTTCTCTTTGTGATCTTCTTCTTTGCCTCAAACCATTAAAACTGAGACGACCCAGTTTATTATTTTTCTTCTTGCTTTCTTTCTTCACGTTTTTCTGCTTTGAATTCATGTTGAGGGTTTTCCATTGATAGTTTTTGGGGCGGGGTATGGGTTAATAGAGGCCCCTAGCATCGTTACCATCCTGGACTGTGGATGTACAGTGTTTAGACCGTGTCTATAACTGGACTGGTCATGGACACGAGAAGCTTGCAGCCCACCGGCCTGCTTGGTTTTCCCTCCCACAACCCTCCAGCACTCCCAGGTCCCTATTAGCATCTCCATCACTCTCCTGTTTTTCTTTTGTTCTCTAAAAGTGGTTGGGAGGGTCGGTGGCACTGTGAGCATGAAATGTTCCAGAGAAGAAGTCTGCCTCTAACTCGTGTTTTATTTTATTTGTTTCTCCCACGTGTGGCTGCTACTGATGTTTTTAAAGTGCTGTGAACGGATGAGCGCACGGTCCGCTAAGGGTCGGCTACAGATTAATAATACAGATGATAACGGTAATAATCCTCATTGTCAGTATGGGGTCTTTTCTTCCTCTCTTGTTTCATGCCATTGAACAACATGGAAAGAATGTTTTAAAAAACACTATATCTGTATATTTTTATATCCTGATGCAATATAGAGAATGTACTATTCAATGGTGCTGAAAATGACCCTTAACTGTTTTCAGTTGGTTTATTTACCAGGTTTCAAGAGAGAAAAAAAAGTCATTATTTATGCTTACAGGTGATAATGTGATGAGTCACACTTTTTAACTGTGGCAGTCAAACACATGACTATATAAATATATATATATGCATATATATATATATATATGAATAAAAGTGAGCGCAACAGTGCTTTTACTTTCTGTCTTTGTATTTTTTTGGTCTCTGCTAGAGAGTCTGCAGCTGCCTGAATCTGGTCTTATAGTTAAGACAGAGATAGCTATAATAATGTTTGTTGTTCCCAAAGAGAACATTTGTTCTAGTCACTACCAGTACAACCTTTATAACCAGCACATTCAATGGGTAAAATACGTTTTCTAAGTAAATATATTTCTAAAGGTGCTACTGGCATGAAATTCTCACCAGATTTTGGTAACAACCCATCCAATCCACACATGCAGAGAAAACAAACCGTAGAAGTCCATAAATTATGTGTAGTAATGGGAACAGGGAAAAAGGACTGAGCATGGGAAGACAGGGAAGTGCAGAAAGTCATGACAGCTGCTGAAATCTATCAGTAATTAGAAAGCAACGCTGCCACTTAGTGGAAATTAATATCAGCTAGTTCAGTCCCAGCTGATCCATTACAAAACGGTGTCACACAAGCGCCATCTCATGATGGGTAAAACCAGCGAGCTCCCTCAAGACCTTCACCACATTATTCTTGCAAAACATACAGATGGCATCGGTTCCAGAAGTATTTCTAAACTACTGAAGGTTCCGGTGAGCAGTGTTGTGGCCATAATCTAGAAGTGGAAAAAACATCCACAACTAGGTGCTCCCCACACCAGATTTCAGACAGAGTGAAAATGATGAGAATCAGAAATCCAGGAACCTACAGGATTTGAAGACAGAATCACATTTAGAAATGCATGTGACTGGTTTCTCCATACAGTAGGCATCTTGAAGCTGGCATCACCAACAAAGGCTTTTGTATGGAGTATTAAATACATTCGGTAAGCATGTTCAATACTTATTTTACCTGCAGTACATAAAAGCACAACAAATCACTGATCGTGTGACCTGCACACTGCAGCATTAAGTGAATCTATATCTTTTAAATGTAAAATGTGGAACCGTCTATCTTCTACCTGAAAGTAACCATTCAGATTGATAGATTTCCATACTGTTCTGTTATAACTTATCTAATTCTACTTTGTGAAACAACTGATAGGGCAAACACATTGAGAAATCCAATTCACCAACTGCAAAAAGCAGAGCTGAAGCCAAGCAGACAGCTGCATCGACACTGTCAGGAAGCCTGTCAATGAAATTCCAAACTGTGAGCCTTTGCAAAGTTTAATGTGGTTTAATAATAGGAAGAATGTAGCACACAGAGTTCAGAGAGAAGTTGAGACAGGCGACTAGGGCAGTAGAGTGTGTAGTGAAGGAGGACATGCAGAGGGTTGGTGTGACAGAGGAGGATGCCAGGATATAGTGAGATGGAATCAGACGATCTGCTGTGTCAACCCTTAAAATGACGCTGAAAGAAGAAGATGGTCTCATAAAGTTCACATGTATGATAAAGTACAACTAGCACTGAAGTACAAATCCAACAGTCAAATTAAACACTCAAGTGTATTTATTTAAACAGGCAACTGTGAGGCGTTCCTGTGAAAGTGCTGCAATATTCTAAAGAAATACATTTGATTTCAAAAATGGCATTGTATTATAGGTCACAGTCACAGTCTGGTTCTGCAGTTGAGTATCCTCCAACTGCTGAGAGTTTAGTCTAGTTTATCTATACAGTGCCAAATCACAATAACAGTCACCTCAAGGCGCTTTATAATACATACAGAGAAAAACCCAACAATCATAAGGGGTATGAGCAAACACTTTGGCGAAAGTGGAAAGGAAAAACTCCCTTTCAACAGAAAGAAACCTCTGGGAGAACCAGGCTCAGGGAGGGGCGGCCATCTGCCGTGAACGGTTGGGGTGAGAGGAGGAACACAGAATAGAAGACATGCTATGGATGAGAGCCAGAGATTACTAAAAAGTTTTAAAACTCTGTACAACTATTAAAACATAGTGAGTGAGATAGATGACTGAAGAAGAAATACTCAATGCATCATGGGAATCCCCCAGCAGCCTATGCCTATTGCAGCATAACTAAGGGAGGATTCAGAGTCACCTGATCCAGCCCTAACTATATGCTTTAGCAAAAAGGAAAGTTTTAAGCCTAATCTTAAAAGTAGAGATAGTGTCTGTCTCCTGAATCCAAACTGGAAGCTGGTTCCACAGAAGAGGGGCCTGAAAACTGAAGGCTCTGCGGCCACGCGGTCAAACATAATCAACACAACTGGAAATAATGCTTGATGTAGGAGATTAGCAAGTTGCCAGTTTGCACTATTTCTAAGCTTTAGGTCAAAGACTGCTGCCCCGAGGTCACAAAGAAACTCCAAACCATTGTTGCAGCAGTTCTCTGGGCACTTATTGGGCACTTAATTTGAAGTATGTAGCTTTCATTAGCTACATGCTTTCATTTTAATTGGCAAGAGGAAATCAAGAAGATCATTAACTGAATCTTCTGTCAAATCTGTTAAAATAATACTCAGAATTTTGCTGACTTTTCATTAAAATATGGTTTTAAATAAGCTTTTCTTCCCTTGGAAGTTATATTTCTGTCAGCATCTTTGCTGGTACAGGATTCTTCTGTACTGTAGGTTCCAGTCCAGGGTCCTTTCAGTACCATGTCTCTCTCTGTTATAATGCCTCTGGAGAAAGGCTGGAGCCGCCTTGCATTCCTGCTCTGTGAGAACCAAGCACACTTTCCTGCTTGCTGCCTGTAAATATATGACACGCTGGTTCTACTATATGTTGGTATAACAGACTGCATACTGGAAACTGTTTAAGCCCCTGTGTTTTATTTCATTTGTAATTTTTCAATGAGTAATTTAATATAAATGGACATGAATCCATAATATTGTTAAACGAAGACTTATCTTAGACTGGACTGACATGTCCTTTTATTGGTAAGTCACTGTCATTACGACATTTTCTGACATTTTACGACTGAGAAATTCAAAGGTAGTTTAAAGTCAAGGATTTCTATTGGTTTAAAGCTCTTCTCCTACAGCCAATCATAACCCTCTAAATAAAGGTTGACGGAAGTTCAACAAACCATCAGAGAAGCTAGTTGCCGTTAGCTTACAGAAATACGATGGTGTCCTTACGGCAGGTGTTGGTATGTAGACTGTGTTAAAACGGTTACGGGGACCAGGAGGAGGCCGGCTAACATAATGCTTTCTGCTCTGGTCTGTGGCGCTCTGGTGTTCCCTGGACTTTTCTGCAGCTCCAGAAAAGTCCTTAAATCCACTTTCACACAGTGGAGCGACGCTGACGTGGTTTGTGTCAGTGAGAGGTCAGCATCCACACGGGTCACCTCATCAGACTACGTTAACACAAACGCCAGTTTAATGTTGTGTTGTTTATCTGTCTCGTTACACACACTGCGGAGATTTGCTTCCTGTGTCACATTACTAACAGGAAAGAGCAGCTAAATTCGGCACATATATAACAAACCATAGAGGCGTCTTTGACGTAAGGAATCCTCTGATTCCCGTTAAATATAAGCTTGACTTAGATTTTAGAATTTGACATAATAATTTGGTTATGTGTTTGTAGGATATGTGCCAAAGGCACCACATTGCACGCCTGTGAGGGTTTGAATATTCATTGCGTGTGCAGTGGGGACTATTAAAAAGCCAGACAACAAATAAACGTGCATGTATTCCAGTGCAGTTGTGTCTACCCAAACAGTTGCTTTGCTTACTTTAGGCTGGTTTCTGCCATACATGCTTCTCTGGCTACTGCAGCTGGAGTCACAGTCATGACATCCTGCAGGGACGTCATGGCTGACAGGTTAGTGTTTCATAGTTTGTTGCACATGAAGACATGAGTTATCATTAGATTGTCAGTTTGTTAGTTCAGTGAAAGTGTTTCCTGTCTCACTTCACAGTCACTGGCTGGTGAACGCGTTTGTATTGTTTGGAGTGCCCTACATGGTCTTTGACATCTATGCCATGTATCTGAGCCACTACCATACTCAGAAGCTCAAAGGTCATTCCAGCTCATACAGCGGCCACTCTCTTCAGACAGTGAAGGCTTTTCTCATCAAGGACTCCATGTTGGTTCTTCATCATATGGCCTTGCTTCTCATTTTCATGCCCATCACTCTGGTGAGAACACTGAGGAGTCTCTTCCGCTTTGTGTGTTCAGGCTGACTTGCCACTAAATGTTTGATTTGCAGTTCTTCAGAAGAGGACTGGGGGACTTCTTCATCGGCTGCCTGTTCACCACAGAGTTCAGCACTCCTTTTGTCTCCATTGGAAAGATTCTCATCCAGGTAATGCATGGGATTTACCTTTAGAGGAAGGCTGACATCAAGAAATCCCACTAGTGGCAAGAAAAGGTCTGCTTAAAGGACAGCACAGAGGCTTCGATCTTGGCAGCACAGGAACAGGACCTAAGCTCCCGATCCATAGATTGAGGAGTCTCCCACAGCTGACAGGACCAGAGTGGCAGACTGTACAAAGACACCAGAGACTAGCCAAAGCAATTTCAGATCATCAAGCAAATTTACTGTTAGAGAAAGATAATTGATTTAAATACAAAATGCAGTTTTTAATGATGAACCTACCTGGTCCTGTGTTTTTATTGTGGGACCGTGTGCAGGGTTTATAATGGTCATGTATAAAAGATTGTGTTGTAGTACGACAAATGGCATAAATTCTTATCATGTTTGCATAAAAGTGTTTTGTGTTACGCACATGGATGTATTAGGGAAGTCCCCTCACCATCTTTCTGTGTTTCATATCCAGCTGGGTCTCGACAACACCAGACTCCACAGGATCAACGGCATCATTGTCTTGCTCAGCTTCTTCACATGTCGGATCCTGCTCTTCCCCTTCATGTATTGGATGTATGGCCGGCAATTTGGGATTCCTCTGCACAGAGTGGTCTTTCACCTGCCACTGCAATGCAACGTGGGTAACCTAGTGCTCCTGGCTCCACAGATCTACTGGTTTATACTTCTGTTGAGGAAAGCCAACAGACTGTACCTGAGGCAGAGGAAGGGGCCGGCCCGCAAAGACTGAAGACTCCATGATTTTCAAAAAAAAACAACAACACAAAACCCTCAGATTATTGCTACAGTTAATGAAAAAATAAGTTTATTATTTTCATAATAAACTTAAGTCAGATTTAACAGGAGAGAGTTGTTTAACTGTGACTCTATCACATAGTCTGTCAGCAGTGCTGTTTTCCTTTTGTCTGTTCAGCTTTTATATGTTAGAGCCTCAACAATGTTACCCAACTACACAGAATCTGTTTGTATAAATTAAAGTCAGTTTAATGAATATAGGATGAAATAATAACACACTGATGATGACTGAGTGCCCCTGGTGTACAGTACACACATTTAGCTTACGTTTTCATGCTGTCTACAATGTTAATGCAAATAAGAATAACTGCTCAACGTGTTGCAAAATATGATTTTAAGTTTGGTTTTTAATTCACAGAGAGTTCAAGCTTGTTACTTCTTAACTTGAGTTCAGTGTGACAGATTTCCTCCTTATTTCCATCTCCATGCTTTCATTCTTGCACCCTACATGAGTAGTTTTGTGTCCTGCCCTCACATACAGCAGGTCCGTGTCTCATTATATTAAAAATATATTTTCTATGACATCACATAGAGCCAAGAATAAAAAAATAAAGAAAACTATTTAGAGTCGTCTCCAGCCTGAGCTTCTGGCTCACAGGGATAACTTGTACATACACTGACATCATTAGCGGATTCTTAGAGAGGTGCTCATATTAAACATGACCTTAACATTACACTGTTGTTAATCAGCAGGCATATTCAGGATTGAGTTTTTGCAAACTCAAAGTGCTCAGTGGGAAACAGCAGATAGATCAGTGTGTGCATAATGCTGCTGAGGACACGAGCTGAGCAATTTTCTGCTGCAGCACAGCCTTCATCTCCAGGTTCTCCAAGTTGTCTGAGATGGTAGAGAAGAAGTGGCGGGTGTTGTCGCACTCCAGTGGGGTGCAGCTGTTTGGGAAGGCGGCCATAATGGCCTCGTACTGACTGAGGATCTCCAGACTAGAGAGGAACAGAGGCTCACATTGGCCTCCTGGCATCATCACCTGAAGGGAAGACACATTTCACCAGTGAGCCTGTAGTCCTGACTCAGGAAAAGAACACACTGAGAGAACTTTGTAGCAGTCAAATACAATGGCATCTAACACATTCTGATCCAAGTGCATTACTAAATTTGAGCAAACATGCTGCTTGGTTATAAGAGGAAAAAATTAGCCAATCAGAGACAGAATGGTGTAAAGAAGTCGTACCTGGACGTGCTGAACATGGCAGAAGAGCTGGCTCAGAACAAAAAGAACTTCCTGGCTTGGAGCAGTCTCCTTCTGTGAATCCTTTGATATCAGAGGAGTGTCTCTGGCTTCTTCGGACTTTGGACATATGAGAGTTGGATTTGAGTCTGTGGTTTCTGGCGTTTTAGGAGGAGTTGAAGCAGAAGCAGTAAAAGCACCAGATGAAGGAAGAGGCAGTTTGGCTCGTAGTGAATTCATCATGTCCCTCACAGCGTGGGCGTATAACCTGCCTACGTGTGCCCAGCCATTCGCCGACAGCCAGTCAGAGCAGCTGGAGCCGCAGAGCAGCTGCAGGACTCGAAGCAGGAGGACTGACAGGCGGAGTTCACATGAAAACTTCCTCAGGTCCAGTAGGGGCAGAAAGTCCACGTACTCCAGAGAGAAAGGCACGTGAAGGCGGCTGGATGTGATCAGCTCACAGAGGCCTCTCAGCAGCCTGCTCCACTGGGAGACGGAGCACCAGGGCAGCATCTGAGTCAGAGCCACTAGCAGGCCTTTGCTGAACATGCTGACGTGGTCAGGTTTGTGCTGGTCCAGAGTGAGACAGGACAGCATGGTGCCCTGCAGAGAGTCAGATATGGAGCAACACTCCATCCAGGCTAAAAGACCTGTGCCCAAACCGTACGAGGGAAGGTCCACACCCAACCATTCCTACAGGACAGACATAGTGTTCAATGCAAACTGAGAGCAAAAACAATCAGCTCTAGAGAAACCACACAAATAACAGTATCACATATTTTTTTTCTCAAAAAGTGAGCCTGTGAGCCAGATTTCAATGTTAAAATGCCCAAATTTACAGCATTAAAAATTTGGTTTACAGCCTGCTACAAAAATGGCTTAAAGGTCTACAGGCTGAGCAGCATCTGCTGATTGAAAGCCTAAAACTTGTACATTACGGTGGCCCGCAGAGGTCAAAGAACACCAGCAAATAGAAAAATCATTAAAAAAATGGAAGTGTTTTTGTGGACATAATAACAGATGGCTGTTTAACAGCTAATAGCAAACATGTACAGTATCTACAGTTTTATATGAATCTTGTGTTATCCTGCATCGTCTTCTCTGACGAGTCCTCTTCTTTTAAGCATGTCTCAGAGTGATCATGTGCATGTTTTGGTTCTGGTCACTTCTCTAGCCGGTCCATCACATTATTGTGTCCTGATTAACACTTCAGTTGTGGTTTGTGTGCTTTTACGCGTTTTTCTATTTTCTGTTTTTTTTTTTAAAAGTTTCAGTAAATTTGACCTTTCAGGGCTTTCGAGTTTTGATTTATCTGATCACAGAACACTTTGGATCTATCGGTCCATTTATGAGCTTTGCCTCAGAGAAGACGGCAGTGTTTCTGGATCATATTCACAAACAGTGATTTCTGGAAGCGTTCCTGATTTCTATGATGGAATCATGGCTGTTTTTTTTTTTAATCCATTGCTTTCTGAGGGCCTGTCCTCTGCCACAGAGATTTCTCCAGATGCTTTGAACCTTTTTGAAGTTATGTACCAGAGATGATGAGATACTCAAAATCTTTGCGATTACATTTCTTTGCAGACTGGTATATCTCTGCCCATCTTTTACTTCTGAGAAACACTGCCTCTCAAAGATGCTCTTTGTACTCTGTATTGTTACTGACTTGCTTCCAGTTAACCCAATTAGTTATCAGCCACTTGTTTTAGTAACACTGACTTTTCCAGTCTTTTAAGGCCTTGTCTCAAAGTTCTGCCTCCAAATTGAAAAGATTTTTTTTCTTCTTCTTCTTTTTTTTAAAAAAAGGTACATTTTCTCAGTTTAAACATTTGACACGTTGAGTGTTGTACTTTGAATAAAATGAGGGTTTAAGATGTTTGCAAATAAATTCATTCTGTTTTATTTATTTTAGCTAAACCCAGACCTGGGTTTGCATTTTCACAGATTGGATGTTGATACTTGACACTGTTCTTCAAAGAAATTCAGGAGTAGGCGGGTTCCGCAGTAGGACATACCTGTTCAGGTAGATCACACACAGCCAGTAGAGAGGAGGGCACTTCATTTTTAAAGTGCTCCCCCCACACAGGGTTCAGCAGGAACTGAACCGTCCAGTCCAGCTCTTCCATCTTGTTGTGGAGCCAGAACAGCGCTCGGGACCAGCTGCTGGGGGCCGCTGCCACCTCCGCACCCACCACCTGCCCCAGAGTGGTCAGCACTGACAACAGCAGCTCCTTCATATCCATGGACCAGATGTGGTGGTCTGGTGGTTGCTCCCAACATCTAGGAGGGATCAGGTGGGTTTAAGTTTAAATCAAATGATGTTAAACGCTATAAAGGTTTAACAGCTCAGAAATAAAAAAGTGGAAAGCTTTACTTATGATACAAACCTGAGAGTCTGGTTGTGTAGCTGGGCCAGCATGTAGAGGAGGGGGAAAGGAGAGCAGTCGAACACCCAGTGAGGAGTGGTGGCTGCTTCCTGCACGTCCACAGACAAAGCAGTCTGAAGAAGCTGGATACTCAGCTCTGCATCCACAGAACAGTGAGCTGGCAGAACCACAGAATAACTATCAGTGACAAATAATTAACTTTACATCCCAATGCATTTATGTGACAGCCTTGGGTTATAGGTAGATTAGCCAAATGTAACTTAAAATGAATTTACAGCTGTGGTCAGAGATTTCCATCCACTCATGTCAGGTTGATTTGGGTGACTTTTCATGATTTCCTTAACCTGTTTCTTTTCTAGGCTGGAATGCTTGTATAGCATCCATCTGTAATGACTTTTAAAAAAAGAAAAAAATAGGGTGCATGTCTGAATGCAAGTTTGAATTTATTTTAGATTTTCTTTGATCCACACAGGGCCAAGATTTAACATACAGGCTCTCATATATACATGCACCTTACTAATATTTGATTAAATGTGCCTTTAACCACACTTTAACCAGATGCTTTTAGTAGTCATCTGCCTTAACTCTGGCTGCTATTTAAACACTCTTATTGGCAGAATTGGTATTTAATTTAAACACATTTCATTTAAATTGGTTGGTCATCGTGCACAACTTTTAAACAGGGTTCAGTTCAGAACTTTAGGAAGGTCATTCCAGATACTTAATGGAGACAGCTTTCAGCAGCTAGACTCTGTGATCACCAGTTCAAACAACTGTATGTAAGAACAAGTACACTGTAACTGAACCGCTGTTCCAATTTCTGGAAAAGACAAACAGTCAATCTCAGATAAGATGAAAGTGGTTCAGGGACAACCCAGGGACCATCAAGCCTGCCTTTAACTGGAAACTTCTGGAACAGCAGCATCACTGTCCACAGTGAAGAGTTGTTGTTTTTTTTGTTTTTTTACATCGCCATGGACCAAGAAGGTGCCGATATAGAAGCCCCTGTTCCAAAATCGACATCTTCACACTTAACTGACACTTGCAGCTGTAGAGGCTTTCAAACCTAAGAATGCTGTACCTGCTGTCAAGCATGGTCGTGGTAGCATCTTGCTCTGTGGCTCAAATCAACAGTCAGATGGTTGAAACGTGGATAAAGAAGGCTGACGTTACCGTAACCTTCTGGAATTCCCTTCAAAAAGCCCAGACCTCAACTCTAGTGGTCTATGCCTGGAAACCAATAATTTTGAATAACCTATCAATTCTGCCAAGAATTATGCCAGATGCTTATTGGTAACTACTAAAAGTGTCTGATGAAGATGCAACATGCTACGGTACACTTAACCTTTTCATTTAACATTTAGAATTTTGACCCTGTCAGGATCAGTGAAAATAAATTAAAACCTGTGAATCCAATTCTTGTTTGGGTTTTTTCAAAGTCATCACACATGTATGCTGTACAATCATTCCACCCTGGAAATGTTAAAAGCCCAGACGTGATGGAAGCACCACGTTTACCATGACATTCATATCCATGACGAGTGGATCTAAACTTTTGATCACAACTGTAAAATGCTAATAAAATAGCTAATGTAGGTTGTGGTAAACATAAACATGTGATATTCACCTGTAGCTGAGAGGTTAGGCAGGACAAAGGTTTTCACGACTTCCTGAGGTGACAGAACGCTTTCCCTCTTTCCTTCTCCCTCAGCTGAAGTGACAGGCTCCATGAGCAGACCCAGAAACTTGAGGAACTGTTCTTTTTCAGTTGCTAACAGTGACTTGGTCTGGATCATGTCCTGTAAACACTTGCAAAGTAAACTGCACACCACATTTTTCCTCCCTCCATCTCTTCTTCCCCTCTGCTCTCTGAGTCCTGGCAGCTGTTCCAGGATCTTAGCCATTAGAGAGAAAGCTCCTTTGTTGAAAACAGCCGAATGACAGCAGGACCTCAAAGTGGCTTTGGGGTTCTGAAAGGCCACTCTTGCAACTAGAGAGGCTGCCGTAGTCAGATTGCCCTGTGAAGCTCCCACTGAAGCTCCGCCCGCCCCCTGAATGATGCAGTTGAAGGCCATGTTGAGCTCCTGTTCAAACCCATCAGCTAGAGCAGCAGGTACAGAGCACTCGAAGAACCCCCTGCTGGATAATCTCAGCATGGCAGCCAACGCTTTGTTCTGGTCTTCTAATGTGAGTGTGGAGAAAATACCTGAAGTGATTTTCAGCAGTTTGTGACACTGCCTCACATTAGCGCTCTCACTATGGAGTCTGCTCATTAGGGTGGAGGCGAGGCTCATGAGGGTGCTGTGCTGCCGGAATGCCCCCTGGTTTTTTTCCAGGCAGTCGAGCCAGCGATCCGCACGTTCTGCCCATAATGGCTCGCTGGCAAACAACGCTGCAAAGTCCTCACAGTCTTCCAGGTGATGGGTGATGATGACAGCAGCAACCTCTGCGCTCACTTCAGGGCTGCTCTCTGCGGCAGGGAGGGACAGTGACTTCAGCACACCTCTGAGTGTATCATTCTCTCCTTCAAAGTCATCACTACCAGCTCCGGGTGCTTCCTCTAGAGAAGCCAGGACCCTCTGGATGCTTTGTTCTAGCTGGAAAGCAGAGTAACTAGGGCTGGAGTGGTCACACTGACTGAGAACACCGCTTTGCCAAAACTGTGCAAGCTCTGTGATAATCCTCAGGGCTTCACTCAGCTTCATCTGCCGCAGATTAAACTGAGAAGGTGTGTGAGAAGCACGCAAGTCTTTCAGAGCTTCCTGAATCATTTCAGGACTCAGCTTCTCCATGTTCTCCTCCCTGGCTCGGAGGATTTTACACAAACAGTCCAACTTCTCTTTAGCTGGAAGCACCACGTTTTGGTCTATCAGGAAAGTTGTGTAAAGAGCATCGAGGGAAATGGATAAGGCCTGAAAGCAGAGGTCAGGTGAGGATATGTGACCTTTCATGTCTTTGAGTGCGTAAAGAAGAATGTGCAGAATATCTGCTGAATTTGGCGTGTCTAACTTTAACCTCTTTGCAGCCTGAGGGGACAGACTGGAGGACTCAGAGGAGAGGCGAGCAAGCTGGCTGGCAAACATCTTCTCTATGCTCTCTTCTTCTCCAACCTCCTCTTCCACTCTGCCTTTCCACAGCTCCCACCAAACCTCCAGAAGGAGTCGGACATCGTCTTCCCCTATGGGATCGCTCCTCACATGTTCCACCAGCCTTTCCAGCTCAGCACAGATTTGAGCGTGAGGAAGACGCAGGAGGAAACTGGCAAAAACACCCGCAGCTGCTGCTGACTTCACCAGCTCCAGCAGGACGACATGGCTGACCTCAGGGAGGCTGTTTTGGAGAGAGAAGAAAGGGTTCTCCCTCCAAGCAAACTCAACGTTCTCCTCAGCCTCTCTGCACAGCAGCTTCAGCCACACAACACAAACCATCCTCTTTTTCCAGCTCTCAGCTGCTGGGTTGGGACAGTCACTGACTTCATCCTGTCTGCAGATTTCTTTGAGTGCTTCCAGGATCACATGTCCCACCCGGCTCCAGTCTGCTTTCTGAATGGTGGACAGAGATGAGGGGGAACACAGCTTATCAGCCAGGAGGAAAGCTCCCTGAAGCACTGTCGAGTCTGAAAGAACAAGAGAAAAGGCATCAAAACTCAAATTTGCCAGAGGAAATGGATTTTTTTCAAAATTTTTAACTGTCCTCTCAGCTCCTTAAATTAGCCTAAAATGGCAAAGCTGCGCAAAAAACAACACATTTGATCTTAAGACCAAAAAATGCCACTTTGAAAATGACTTTTGACTGGAGATAAGCTGAAGTTCAACTCTGGTTCATCTTAAGTTGACAGTGGAAGGAACATGGTCTGAAGCCTGAGCTCAGAGAGGTTACTTATATCTCATTATTTTAAATCGTGATCTTGTATATGAACATCCACACTCTGTAGAATAAGGTATTGGTGTCTATTTTTCAGTTCCACACAGAATGAATACAAGCTATATAAATATATATAGAAAAAAATGTCGCTGCTCTGTCATTCTCACACACATACAGCAGAGCGGTTAGAGAACAGCATTACCTCTTAAACTGCTAAAGCTGATACTGTTTAATTTTGTGGGGGTTGATTATGGCGAAAAATCTCTGCACATGCAACATTAACTGTAGCAAAACAGAAATTGTGACTCGTGTTTTCTGTATGGGAACGTGAGGAGTGTAACGGTTACCTTTGTTCATTATTAGTGCCAAAGCTGCAGAGTGGACCTGGATGCTGAGAAGCTAGTTTGCTAATTTTAGTTCCAACTATAAGCTGTACCACAGCTCTAATACTTTACATCAGAGTATAATGAAGTAGAGAGCAAACACGATACTACCTCCCAGCAAAGGTTTCTATCAGAGTGACACAAACTTCGTATAAAGCGCTTCCGCTGTTAGCGTCAGCGTGTGCAACCAGAGAGTATTCATGATCAAGAACTCCCACTCTGTGGATTTCCGGTTTCATAGAGGGCGCTCTAAGCATATGGCAGAATGAATAGAGCTCTATTCAGCCCCAGAATGTAATTTTTGTTGGGTAAACAATTTTGGTTATTGTTTTTTGTTTTGTTTTTAAATATTTTCCTTAATAGTTAATAGATGTAGCTTCATTTTCACATTTTTTTGGTTTCCAACATTTCGGTGTAATACAAACAGCACCAAGAGCCGCATAATGCATCGACTACTTTACTTTCAGGCATGAAACACACAGCCGCGGAAAACGTCTGACAGTAACTTCCTAACAGTGATCACCTTCGACCACCACTTTTTTTTTTCCTATTTCGTTTGGTTTTTATTCAACCTTTTCAAGATGTTGTTGCACTAATGTTGTCTCCCAACGAGAGATTGTAATATGTGCATAAATTTTATTAAAGTACGAAAAAAAAAAAAAAAAAAAAACCTTCGACCACCACAAGCAGCGTGTTCTCATATACATGATAGGCTTTGTTGTGGTTTAACTACGCTCCCAATATCTAAATAACGTATGATGTAGATTATTAGACCTAAAATCGGGCATGGAGAAATAATTATTTGAGTGCTTTCGCTACATTCACAGCTATTATTTGAGGACTTTCAGGCGAACTAAATAGTGAAACGAGATTAACAGGAAGTGACATGACTCTCGTCCATCAGCTCTGGTGCCGGAAAGACTAGTAAGGCTGCTGTCGTCATGCCCTCACAGCGACATCTCAGGGCAAAGTCAATACTACGAGTTTTATATAAAGTCAAAAGCAAAAGCACCTGTTGCAAGCTGTTGACTCCTCATGAACTGCTGTGAACTATTTATTAAACTATGTGGTGCGGTGGTTCACATAGTCACATTACAGCAATCCTGAGTTCGAATTAAATATGGAGTACATTTGCCCCGTGACTCCAAGTACACCGGGTACCGCTCACAGTTTAGAGTCCGTTTGTGTGGTAATGGATAAAGTAAAATATGCACCTACCAGACAGACCTCTGGCCACGTGGCAGCTGGGATAGGCTGCAGCTACAATAATGTTACGTCTAACATTAAAACAGGAACGCTGTAAAAAGAACTAGGACATTGTATCCTGATTTATTTATTTATTTATTTGCAACTTCCTAGCATATATTCTCGATTTTATTAACTTTTTTGATTATGATTAATGTTTTTTTAAAGGTTATGTTTTCGAGCTGCTCATCACGCCAGAAATCGCACTCCTTTTTTCTTTTTCCTTTGAAATGAAAGTGAAAGTGTCAAGAGAAACTTTGTGTGGACATCGGACAACAAGGAGTTCGACAGTGGAGAAGAATGAGGGTTTTAATCTTGAGGATTTTTGTTTATTTGTATCTAAGTGCAGGTGAGTTATAGTGCAACACGTCACAGATTAGCTTAGGTCAGTTTGTGCGTGTTAGGTCAACAGTGACTATAGATATTCTAGTCTACCGCATGAATTCCAACGGCTATGCTGTCTGACTGATGTATTCGTGTCATTCAGGTGTGTGGAGTGTCCATCAGATCCAGTGGCTGCCTTGTTACTTCATTGATGAGCGTTTGTATTTGAACAAGGACAACCACACTGAGACTCGGGTCATCCCCAGAGAGGCTATACTTCAGTTTGGTCAGAAAGGAGATGCTCCTGTTAACCCAAACGCCATCACTTTCCTGGTCATCAGTGAGTTACTGCAGCCTGCATGAGGAGAAGGCTGAAAAAACAACTACAGTGTGTTAGTGTTTATTTTATTGTCTTCTAGGATCAAAGTTGGATCTGCTGCAGTATGTGGAGGGGGTGGAGGCAGAGCAGCTGAAGTGTGAGCTGCACAGATACAGCACAGAGGGCGGTTACGTCCGCTGGCCTGTCCTCGGTGCCCGGGAGTACAACCACTGGTTTACCTGCATCCTCAGACACAGCAGGGGCCGCTTCACAGTCGCTGGCACCCTTAGACACCCCTCTGACCAGCCTCCCCCAGGGCAGCCAGACTACCACAACTGGTCTGTCATCGCTGACAAAGAGGTACTCACCACCGCAGGTAAACTCACATATGAGGATTCAGTTTTTTTCTTTTGAGCCATACAGACCATCTCCTAGGGGTTTGTTAATTGCCTGCCTGTTGCAGTGGCAGAAGTTCAAGGACAGAGTGCTGAAAAGAAACTGTGTTTGTATCTTGGAGATTAGAGTAGAAATAGAGAGACAGTTATAGTTATATTGACTTGGAATGGTGGATGGCCAAATAATTGTCATGTCATAGATACAGGAAGTGGTTGTCACCTGTTTGAGTAAAGGACACTTGTGTTGTTTGTCACACTTTTTCCACAGTCGCCATGGTCATCAAAACACAGACTCCCTCAGTTAAAGCACGCCTGAAGTCCCAGCAAAAGCTCCACTGCCAGTTTGATGTTGACCACAAGGGTGCAAAGGTCACTGTAGAGTGGCATAGGCACCGCCCTGGTGAGAGGACCAAGCTCTTCAGTTACAACAGGCACACAGGACAGACTGAGGGGAGCGGTGTCGGACTACGTGCCATTGCGGCTGGAGATGCCTCTTACACCCTCGCCTCCACCACAATGATCAGTGAAGGGACCTACATTTGTTCAGTGTCCGTGTATCCACTGTTCACCAAGGTGGATATATATCTGCAGATTGAAGGTACATAGGATTGGATCATTCCCTAAATGTCTATACTACCAGTCAAAAGTTTGGACACACCTTCTCATTTAATGGTTTTTGTTTATTTTCATGACTATTTACATTGTAGATTCTCACTGAAGGAATCAAAACTATGAATGAACACATATAGAATTATGCAGTAAACAAAAAAGCGTGAAATAACTCAAAGCATTTTATATACTTTAGATTCTTTAAAATAGCCACCCTTTGCTTTGATTACTGCTTTGCACACTCATGGCATTCTCTCCATAAGCTTCATGAGGCAGTCACCTGAAATGGTTTTCCAACAGTCTTGAAGGAATTTCCAGAGATGCTGAGCACTCCTTGGCCCTTTTGCCTTCACTCCGTGGTCCATCTCATCCCAACCCAGCTCAGTTGGGTTTAGGTCAGGTGACTGTGGAGGCCAGGCCATCAGGCACAGCACTCCTCACTCTCCTTCTCAGTCAAATAGCCCTTACACAGCCTGGAGGTGTGTTTGGTGTCATTGTCCTGTTGAAAAATAAATGATGGTCCAACTAATAGAAAACCGGATGGGATGACATGTTGCTACAGGATGCTGTGGGAGCCATGCTGGTTCAGTGTGCCTTCCATTTTGAATAAATCCCCAACATGTCACCAGCAAAGCACCCCCACACCATCACACCTCCTCGCCTGCTTTTCCTTAGTGGTGCTTTCTTAGCAGCTATTTGACCACAAAGACCTCATTCGCACAGTCTTCACTGAACAGTTCATGTAGAGATGTCTGCTACTGGAAAATCTGTGTGGCATTTATCTGGGCTCTAATCTGAGGTGCTGTTAGCTTGTGATTTCTGAGGCTGGTGACTCAGATGAATTTATCCTTAGCAGCAGAGGTGACTCCTCGTCTTCCTTTTGTGGGGCAGTCCTCATGTGAGCCAGTTTCATCGTAGTGCTTGATGTTTGTTGGGACTGCACTTGGGGATACATTCAAAATTTTAGCAGTTTTCCAGACTGACTGATCTTCAGTTGTTAAAGTAATGATTGACTGTTGTGCTTGCCATAAGAAGCTGTGTCCAAACCTTTGACTGGTACTGTATATGTTGTCAGTACAAACAATGAGAGTAAGAAACCTATTTTTAAATAGCTCTTTATAGCATTTTATTACTTTGACCATCAGATCAATCTATTGACCTTGAAGGAAATGTAAGAGGTCAAATGTGACATGATATTTGAAATCTTTATATGGTACTTTTTATATGTTGTCAATATACAGCACCCTTTTAAGAATCTCAGTTTTAGTGAACTGTTAAATCCATTTGTTGGATTGTTACTCCACTACACTCCACTAAGTGTGGTCAGAAACTTTTTTTAAAAAATTATTCTGTTAAGTGTGTAACCTGAAATGCATCTTACCAAATTTGACTTCCTAGAATTCTGGAACTCAGACCAAATCTCAACTTTTAAATGTCACCAGTTTTGACCTGAAAGAATATTAAATTAAAACGAGTGAATTAAATAAAACAGCCCAGTTACTATAATAAATGTCTGCTGTTAGGTATTGAAATTACTATTATTATTTATTTTTCTCTCTCCTTTCCTCAGAGTCTCCCCATGTCTCCCTCAATGTTGCAACCACCCTGTTATTGCAGGAGGGCAAGGACTTGATGGTTAAGTGTGAGGCAAATGGCTACTACCCTCGGGATGTGGAGATAATTTGGTACGAGGAGGATCCAGGCACTCCACATCCCAAGCCACTAAACCATAGTGTTCTGTTCAGCCACAAAGTAAATGGGGACATGACCTTCTTGCTGTCAGGTGTCTTCTACCTCCAGGCTGCGCTCAGGGACTCTGGGAAAAAGTTCACATGCAGTGTCTCCCATCAGTCCCTGAAAGTGCCCATAACAAAAAGTTTCACCCTGATTGTGGAAGGTGAGTGTCAGTATAGTACTAGGAGCTAGCAGCTGGGAGGAGCAGAGCCTGATGTGTGTTCTGTTTCAGAGCCAACAAACTGGATTTTGTACCTCGTTGTGGGCTCTGCGTTGTGTGTTGTGATCCTGCTGTTGTATGTGAAGCGGCGCTACCTGCACTCAGGTGAGTGATACAGAATTCCAGCTAAATCACACTTGAGGAGCACGTGCTTGCTGTTTGGGATCAACTGACATATAAAGCATGTTCAACCCCAATTTTAAAAAAGTTGCAAAGTTGTGTGTAAAATGTAAAGAAAATAATATAAATAACATATATTAGAGAAAATGATATTTATTCTACAGAAAATAGTTATTAATATAGATAAATAAACAGAATGGATGATTTGGAATTTAAAAGAAAATGGAAAACATGTAAAAAAGACTAAAGTGAGAAAATTTACGGAGAAAAATACTAGACTATATTGAATTTGATGACAGCAACATATCAGAAAAAAATGTTGGTGCTGGGCAAGAAAAGTCTGGAAAAGTCTGCAGTACTGGAAAAAAAGCGGGAGAAACATTTTTGGAGTAAGTAACATGACTGGGTATAAAAAGAGCATCTCAGAGGGGCAGAGCTTCCCAGAAGTGTCTAAGAATTGTTTGACAATTTCAGAATAATGTTCCATAAAATTGCAAACTTTAAATATGTCATAGTTTCCTGTACATAATATCATCAAAAGGTTCAGAGAATGTGTCTAAGGGACAAGGTCAATTTCTTTTTTAAATAGTTGCATTGAAGCATTAAATTTGATAGTTAATCAAATAATATGCCACCTGGCAAATGAAAGGCAACAGACCATAGACAAGGCAGAATATCCAATCAGAATTGGGCCATGCTTTAAAAACAGGGATTCTGTCATGGAAATCAATGCAAAGCTCACGAACACCTCTACAAGTGAGTGTCTGTGAATACAGGTCACATCCACAAATGCAGGTTGAAGCTCTGTCACACAAAGAAGAATCTAAATATGAACTTCTGTTAACCCAGAGCTTCCCAAAGTGTGGGGCCCGCCCCCTAGAGGGGAGCACAGAGCCATTGCAAGGGGAAAATAAAACCCAAAACGCTTGTACACTGCCAGCACGGGGCGCCCACACAAACGCAAAGCAGGAGATGAAGCATCGCATCACTGAATAGGTTTCCAAACCAACTTCATTCTAAGCCAAAGACTAGAAAATATGGTGAAGCATATCTTCCCTTTGGTTTCACCTGCACAAGTGCCAAGGTAGGTCTCCCCTGCATAATTGGTTTTCCCTTTGTCGGGAGCAGCGCTGGGCTCTCCAAATCACGGACAAACAGTATCCCACATTCTTGAGTTTTAGTTCACAAACACTTATTGTAATGACTAACTACTCCTGACATTTCGGAGATGTTAGCTCTTTATACAGTAAAGTTACAGCGGGATAAAAATAATATCAGGCTCATCCTGCCACGATTTGTTCCCCCGGTTCAAATCACGGACAAACAGTATCCTACAGCTGTTTATGTTTTTTAACCCATTTTGCACAGAGGCATTTTTTGAAAAATGTATTGATAGCATCCATCCATCCATCCATTCGCTTCCGCTTATCCTTTTTCAGGGTCGCGGGGGGCGCTGGAGCCTATCCCAGCTGTCATAGGGCGAAAGGCGGGGTACACCCTGGACAGGTCGCCAGTCTGTCGCAGGGCTAACACACAGGGACAGACAACCATTCACACTCACATTCACACCTAGTGGCAATTTAGATTATCCAATTAACCTATCCCCACAAGCTGCATGTCTTTGGACGGTGGGAGGAAGCCGGAGTACCCGGAGAGAACCCACGCAAACACGGGGAGAACATGTAAACTCCACACAGAAAGACCCCGGCCTGGTGTTGGAATTGAACTCAGGACCTTCTTGCTGTGAGGCAACAGTGCTAACCACCGTGCCACCGTGCTGCCCGTATTGATAGCAATGTTGAATATTATTACCCAGGAAAAAAAACAACTACACGTAAAATAATCACACCGTGACACCTCTGCCTTTCTAAATGGAGGGACAGTAACTGCGTGTGTATATGTAAGCGTGTAAAAACTGAAGATAGTCAGATTAACAGTATTTTGTCTCTATCTGCGATTCTGCAATTCATCTCATGTAAACAATAACGTGGCGCACAGCGTGGCGTGAAATTAGGCACATACCTTTGACGTTGCGTGACGAACTCTGTATTCCTCGTCCACACGTAAACGCAAAAAAGGAGTTTTAAAAAATCTCAGTTTTCGGTGACCTGAACGCCGTTTACGTGTGGACGAAACAGCTGCGTTTTCAAAAATACCTGTGTAGGTGTGGACGTATCGTAAAGGAGTTAGTCGTTTATTTTATTACTACCTGTAATTTATTGCAGATTACTTTTATTTGCTTAATTGTTTACTAAATGTTTGAGGTGTGAAATAAACCGCAATGGAACAAAATATGGGTGTGTGTGGTTGGAGGATGGCGGGGATGGGAGGGCAACATTTGTCTTGTAAAACAAAGGGGGGCCTAGCAAAAAAAGTTTGGGAACCACTGTGTTAACCAAAGCTTATGAAAAATGGACTGAAGCTAAAGGAAAAAAGATGTTCTGTGGTCAGATGAATCAAAATGAGAAAGTCATGAACCAAGGTTCACACTCAGTAGGGACCCAAACGCAGACTTGATACAAAATTCACAGGAACTATGTACAGATTTAT